CCTACATCATAATTACATGTCTATTATATTTATACACGTAACCTATGTCATAATCTAGCTGTATTAAATCCTTCCCCTTTTAATGGAATAGTAATTTAATTTCTTAGATAACTCATTTCAAACTTTGCTATACAGTATGATTTTTTAAACATTTATTTTTTAAATTTAATCAAATTCCATACATCGAGTTTTCTTTTAACTTAAGAAGATAACAAGAATAACTTGATAGCATAAGAAAAATCTTTTACTTACTGTAAAATTATTCTTCTATGACAATTTAATTTATTTCACAAAACAATAAAACCACTGATGACCAATTATTATCAAGTATGTATAACTTTTGTGATTTTAGCAGTATTTATATAGTGAGCAGTGCTGACCAGTTTGATTTATTAACGAACTAATTATCTTTTCATTTGTCGAGAAAACTTATGTACCACTTACCAGTTAAATATAAGGAATCTTTTTTTTGTATTTTACACTGTTTAAATTTACACAATCATCATTATCACTTTCCATTATAAAATTTTATTTTTGTACATATTTTTCTAATTTGATCTTTGAATATAATTTGTTTGTCTTTTTATGTAAGTAATAAACATTTTTTTTTTCATTTTTGCATCTTTTAAATGTCAAAATAACACCATTTTCATCTGAAATTTTTCGAAAATATTAAAGTTTTACACAATTATTTCTTTTCCGTGTATGTATAACACTTTAAATATTTTTCCTATCTTTGAAAATAAAATGTTCCTTATTATTAATTTATAATTTTATTAAGACGGTTTTGGCATGCAAAAAAAAAGAAAAAAAGACTCCTCAAGTAAAAATATGTTCCCATATTCTATATCGTCAGCTTATTCGTCAGCAGTTTAGAGCCGCCCAATCAGATACAAAAAGGATGTGAGCATGTGTACCGGAAGGCAATAGTCGACAATGCAATATCGCGAAAGCGGCAATACGATAGTTTTAAATGTGCATAAAATTACTTAAAGACCAAGATAAATGAATGATATCCTTACCGACTGGTAGTTTACAGATGTCAAAGTTGCACTTGCAATTCATACAACACGGCTTTTAATTATCAAAATAGTTAAAATTTAGATGGAAGGCTATTTATAGTCAGGCCAGTTTGAAGCCATGAAAAGTTACCATATATTATATATTCTGACCAGCTCACACAATACCATTACGCGTATGTGCTAATCAAAGTAATAGTTAGTTTTGGCCCGATAAATGAATGGGAGGTTCTTGCGCGTTAGAAACGAAATTTAACGATTAAAAAAATCTATTTTCCATTAGCAGCTAATCAGTACACAACCGTTTCACCAAACGTAAAAAAAGTCAACGACATTGGAACATTCGAACAGGAAATTATAAAATCTATGGTACAATTAAGATGATGATGGATAAAAAAAAATGATAATGATTTTTATTTTTGTTTGGATGATGATGATAATGACAAAAATTATGAGAGTAAAAGGAAGTATTGAGATAGTAACGATGATGTTGAATATGATGTAAATTGGGATTATGATGACAATTGTGATTATGATTGTGGTGATAATAGTTGTTATTTTGATGCTGCTGCTGTTGATGTTGATGATGAAGATGATGAGAATGACGATTAGAACTATTGCAATGGTGATGATGATAATGATGATTATGCTGGAAATAAGATTAAAAAGATGATGATGATGATGATAATGATGATGATGACGAAGACTTCATATTTGTTTATATAGTTAATACAATATGTATTATTATATTGATAATGGTGTAAATTGCAGTTGGAATAAATATAGGGAAGAAAATTGTGTAATGGTTTTGGATATGACAATCACGATGATTGTGCTTTTGTTTGTTTGTTTGTTTTTTACACAAATTTTCTAACACATTTTTGGTCTGTTAACCGGGCCGATTTTCGTAAATAGATAACCAGTATGACAAAATTCTGCACAAGTGATTGACTACTAATTCATCATGATTTGTGACTCAACAGTTGGACACTAGTGAAGAGTATTATTATTATGATGATGATGATTATGATGATGATGATGATGATGATGATGATAACGTCGGCGACGATGATGATCCCAAAATATATGATGATTCTGGTCATAATGATAATGATTTGGATTTGGATGATTGAAATGACTTTTAGTTCAAAAAGTTGAAAAAAAGTGTGTTATTTTTTTCTTAGATTGCCATGGCCAATTTTTGCTATGGACTTGTCATGTCAACCACGCAATGTTAGGACTATAGTGACATAAAGTGCACTTGTACTGGATAAAAACCCCATTCTTTTTCGGACCGTTGTCGGACTGAATTCATCATCCTTTCATCCATCCATCATATTATGTAGTTATTCAAAGAAAATAGGGTTGCATTTCATTTTAAGGCTTAGTTTTAATGCACATGCGATACGACAGTACTTCCTTACTCTTACTTAAATCGTCAATGCTGTCGATTAACCCTCTTTAAGAACGTTTAAAAAAGACACAAATAGGAACACCTATCAGAATGAAATTATTATGACATAATTGTAAGAAATAACAATAGGATTATTGCATATTAATACATAATTATGATGTTTAAAAGTTAGATATGGTAAACAAGAATAGTCTGTTTATTACGTTATAAAAAGTTAATTGTTATTATAACTACGAGTGAATCTTTATTATCAGTTAACATAAATAATTATATTTGATCATTGATCTCATTATTATTGTCATGCAATGGCCATGGCAGAAAAATGCTAGCTCAAGTGAGCTAAAAAGTTCCGAAATCTCTAAATTTCTAAAAAGTTCTTAAATTCCATGTAACATGTTAAGAGTTATTGACCTCCTATTATGTTCACAAATAGGTGTGTGACGTTTCAACTCATTCCCTTCAGTAGTTTTGGAAATACCAACTTACAAACAAGTTTATTAACAAACTGGATAGAACCTGGTCAGACTGCATACAACACTGCATCAAAGACCGAGATGGCAATGTTCTATAATGAATATTCGGGGCTCCAGCAGTGCGAGGTTAAGAAAAGGATAAATACGTATTCCGGGGCTCCAAAAGGTAAGGGTTAACACTTACGACAATTGGCCTCATCAGGGTGCCGTTTTATCAACAAAGTCGGTCGTAACTGCGATCTTATCTTACGACCGATACCTACGACCGAGCTTACGATTTCCTCATGACCGTTTTATGAACACGGTCGTACGCCCTCAGTCGCAGCTAAGACCATTTTCGGTCGTACGACCGTAGAAACAATTACCATACAGTTGAAAGTACGTTTCCGGGTCACGTGATTTCCCGCGCACCTGTCAATGTAAACACGACTGCATCAACAGAATACGATCTATACCTCGTCGAAGTAGTTTTAATAACTGCAAAGCATAAAAGGACATTTAATACGTTTTGTTTCCAAATTAACTAAATGATGTACAAAAAACAATAAGTCTTTTTGAGTTAGAATGCCATTTCTTTTCTAATAGAAGATTTAAAAATTGTTTTACATGGGATACATTGTATCAGGTATATATTAACGTTAATATACGTACCTGATTGTATATTGATCTTTATTTAATAAAAAACGGTAAATCATTGATAAAAACAAATAGGTACTTATTTTCGGATCAAAATATAGAGATGCATCAAAAAAAGAGGACATAATATATATCCGTCTACAAAACGATGTCAATTTTTTTGAATGCCTTCTGCGTGTTAGATACATTACTTCTAAAAAATTTATGCGTCATTCTGATCATCCTTACAAACGGCTAAGTATACAATTAAATATCACCAATGACTATGTTAATATATCCCTTACATTCCTTACCGCAGATCGGTAAGAATTTTCTGAATAAAAGTCAAAGAACGTGATAGTATTCATCATTATGATCTGTCAACCGTATAGTATCTTGTTAACGCAAAAGGCTTCCAAAGCATAGCTACTGTTTTAAGATTTTTTTACTTGGAACAAAGCGCTGTTGATGCTTGAATACAGAGACACCAACCAAAGTTCAACCTGTCTGTGCGTTCATGACATTGAATAAGTTAAAGGTGGCACAGCTTGAATTAAAAAAATGTACAGGGCTCTGAGGTAAAATGCTAAACAACATCCGCAAACATTAGAAGAGTCTTTCTTAGCAGTTTCAGGTAAGATTAAGGAAAAGTTGAAAACAATACTGGGCTCCTTCATATTTACTGGACAATTGGTTTACCGGACAAAATCTATTTCTGCCGAGTAGTTATTTTTTGCTTCGATTAAAAAATCATCCGGTCTGAATCGTTCACACTATTTCTATTTCAAAGTAAATAAGAACAAAACCACTCTCAGGTAAAAATTGTTGATTCAGTTTTTTTATTTACTATCATGCCCTTTTGTTTAATAGTAATTTCATGGCCTGGTCATGCGTGGTAATAATCTGTTCTGCGCATGCCCGAACATTGAGGCCCTTAATTAATGGGTTTTTTTTAGATAAATTTCACTTTTAATACTTCTCAACGTTATCTCAGGAGACAATCGTAACAGATTTTAATGATAAAAAGTAATATTGAATTTATTCCAACAGTATCTCTTTGTTGTCTTTTACGAAGAAATACAAATTAAAAAATATATAAGGAAACGGGTTACGCCCATGGGAGGAAACTCAACATGATTTTATGGCTTTTGTAACATGCTACATGATGACCAAAAGGGAACTTTATAACAAAGAACAGAATTCCATTTGAATATCAAAGTGTTTCATACATTTAAGGATCATGAAAACTCAATACGTTAATTGAGTTAATAGTGTTAATTTTAATTACACCCAAACATTGGCCTCTTCGTAACAAACATGGCTGTCTGGGTTCTTCAAATATCATAACCTTGCCATTCAATAGTCGTAGTTTCCATGCTGATTATTTACAGACAAATTTAAACTCACGACTTCAAAAAATTTTGAAACACAATGTCCGCGGTAAATTGAGCTGTCTGCACGATTTTTTCTCTTATATGTTTCATTGATTTATCTCATGTTATGAATTGTAACACATAAATCTTTTTTTTCAAAGTCACTTTAATCCAATTGAATACAGAGAAGAACATCATTTTGCTGTGTATTCCTTTCAAGTTTTGAACATGAATCTAACATTTCATAATGTTATTCAAGAGAATGATTCAGTAAAGTTATCACCTCAAAAAATATAGATATTTGATTTGACATACATGAATAGCTATATATAGTTTTGACACTTAAGACAAGTGAATATACAGTTAGTACATACATGTACCATCCAAAGTATATATTAAAAAACAACTTAAAGACCTTAACCTATGTATATGTTTTCATTAATCATTAAAAGCATTCACATAGAGCTTCTTACATGCATTCAGGGTAATAATTGTAGATTACTGACGGTCCCTTTGTGACCATACTTAAGTGTTATTTTTATTCATGTGCATGTAGAAACAAAGTTATTATGGAATGTTTTAAATTATACATAATGTACCTTATCTTACAGATAAAAAAAAATTGGTAAATTGATGAAATGTTTGATAGTCTATATAACTTTATTCTTAACTATCTTTAGGACTTATATGCCCTTTGTTGGCCATATAATAAGGTCACAACACTTGGACCCTGTAAGGGAGAGCTGTCCCTGGCTATTGATTCCAATCATAAGATTGTATAGCTGTAAACCTTCCATCATTCAGCAGTAATCTGAAACATTACAGAGAATATTCTGACTTAAAATCAAATAATTAACATTGTAATTTGATACAATATTTTTTTACAAACTATCTCATATGAAATGTCATGAACAGATGAACAGATAAATATGAAAATGTATAATTCAAATGAAATCCTTATAAACTAAATGTGAATAGTTTTTATTCAATAATTATGTATGTCTTTGAAATATGTGAATTTGCCAGTCACAGTCATTGAGCTTTTAAAGAAGTTCTCACTGTTGATTTTTTTATATTCCTCTATAACTGTCAGTCCCTGACAGTGTAAGGTCATATTACTTTTTTATTACTGTTTTTAAAATAAGTTTGTCACTACTGACCCTGGTGATATACAGCCTCATCATTGTTAATGTCCTCTTTGACAAACACATTGATCAGCAGATTCACCAAGTACTAACTATTCATGCTGCCTTATATCTGTAAGGAAAATCAGATAAAAATTCAGCTACAATTTCATAGACTCTATATAGCTTGTACATGTATAAACAAAAATTAAGTAATACCTGAAAAGAAGCCTACTAGGATAATATCTACATACCTATGAGTAAATGTTAAAATGATTCCTACAAATCTAACATTACTACAATATACAATACAATAGTATTTGTTTAAATGTGTAAACAAGACAATTAACTTCTGAAGACACTTCACACCCCAAAATCAGTAAGACACTTCACCCATCATCCCTGATTATTTCTAGAATAAATATTTCAACAACAAATAAACCTTTTGTCTGTTAATTTTCTTCTTTTAGTATTTTTTTTTTGTTAAATGTTTAAACTCAAGGCAATTTTCAATATTTTTAACCCTGACATGTTAACTTGCAACATGGAACTTCAATATATTACACCATTTTCTGAAACATTTATACATGAAAGACAATTTAAAGTATCAATGTGACACAAAAATAAAGAAAAATCTGCTATATAATTGTTGATAAAAAATATTATGTGTGATTTTCAACATAACTATCAATGTACTGTCAAACTGGGACATACATGTATTTCCCAGTATCAATGTTAGAACAAATGAAGGGTGAAAGAGATATCTCATATCTAAGATAGTAGGTCACCCACTTTAAATGACTAATACAAAATAAGTTATTTTAAATAGTCAAACTTATTTTGAAGTTTTAATGTGATAATTATATTTTAGAAAAAAATATAAAGTACTTAACTGATTATCATTAATACCATATAAATATATTAGGGGAAAAGTAATATCTCTACAATATTTTGATTTGGTTCATAATTATTATATAACAAGAAATGTGTTAAAACAATGAATATTTTAATCACCATAATTGATTGCATTTCACATGTCCCACCTTAATTTGTGTAAAGCACATAACAACATATAACCAAAAAGGGAGGTGTAGTACTTTTATCAGATTCCATAGAAAGAGGGGTGAAGTGAACACTAAAACTGTCTATATTTCAAACTCATTACTTGTCCTTTGTTTACAATCCTCTTTTCATGTGATGCACCAAATTGGATCTAAAGATGCTCATTTCGCATTCATGTACATGCTTTACCAGACAACAGTGCTCCAGTTTCATTTGCATTCCCATTACAGCACTGTACGTACTGTAGGTTAACATAATGTTGCCATGTTGATTTCACATTATTAACACATGTCTTTCACCTAGATACTGTAGCAACTTCATTGAAAGGTCTACAAAAGAAGATACTTAACTAATAATAACAATGAAATTGGTTTTATAGCTTGACAATTACACAGTTTTTATTGACAATTGTTAGATCTATGTTCTGTCCGAAATCTGCACAATCCGAAATTTTTGTACTAAAATATTTCGAAAAGAATAGTAGGAAACGGTATAGATATTTGCTAATCTGGCTACAGCTGTGACAGGAGTTATATTAAATACACATATATACGTAAAGTAATATAACTAACCATAGCTTCTTCGTGGAAATTATCCAGAGATTAAACTGGAAGTGATAGATGCGTCCCTGGGATGTTAAAATAGGATCAGCACTGTACATAAACATGTACGCGGAAAACATACGTTAGTTGAAAACTTCAATTGTTCAAATATTTGTGTTTGAAAGTTCCTATCGGGTATTATGCAAAAATGGCCGCCATTTTTAAGATCTTTAGCCTACTTACGACTGGTCTGAAGCAGCCTTAAAGTTACGACGTAAATCTACGACGTCTTAGCTACGAGCATGTTGATAAAACGCGACGTAGCCGTAAGATCGGTGGTACGACCGGGCGTACGACCGTTGATAAAACGACACCGTTTTATCAACAAATACGGTCGTAACTGCGATCTTATCTTACGACCGATACTTACGACCGAGCTTACGATTTCCACATGACCGTTTTATAAACACTGTCGTATGCCCTCAGTCGCAGCTAAGACCAATTTCGGTCGTACGACCGTATAAACAGTAACCATACGTTTCAGGGTCACGTGATTTCCCGCACACCTGTCAATGTAAACACGACTGCATAAACTGAATACGGTGTATGTCTCAATAACGACAAAGCATGGGGGATGAGCAAAAAGGACATTTAAATACGTTTTGTTTCCAAATTAACTCAACAAAGTACAAAAAACGATGTCTTTTTTGTGTTAGAATGCGATTTCTTTTCTAATAGAAGATTTTTTTAAAAAAATTTATTTACATGGGATACATTGTGTATTGATCTTTATTTAATAAAAAAGGTAAATCATTGATAAAATCAAAAGATACTTATTTGCATATCAAAATATAGAGATGCATCAAAAAGGAGGACGTATATCCGTCTACAAAACATGTTATAGACGATGTCAAAATTTTTAAATGCCTTCTGCGTGTTAGGCACATAACTCCTAAAAAAGCATTAGCGTCATTCTGGTCATCCTTAAAAACGGCTAAGGATACAATTAAAGATCCTGTTACTAATTTTTTTATGGTTTTAAATCATAAATATGATGCTCAAATTAAGATTTATCTATATTGTAGGTAACATGAAAGACAATTTCATGTAAATAAAGGGAGGTAATAAAAATTTTATTTTCTATAAAGTTTAATTACGTCAAATTTTACAATATTGATTGATTGATTGATTGATTGATTGTCTTTAGACTGGGCGGTCAAGGATAACCTACGAAAGTGCAAGCACTTATTTCCAGTAGGGTCCTTACCTCAGCAGACTCTAGAGACAGCTATGAGATACAAACCAGTCCCTAGCTATTATTGAATAGATCCCTTGGTTCTTTTACATGACCAGTGTATAGCACTGACACATGCGAGGATTACCTGGGTTTCTTACCAGTAAACCTCTAGGTAGGTGGGAAACACTGAAAGTGTCTCTGAAAATCACAAGGGTGTTACCCAGGATCGAACCCGGAACCTCTGGAGTGTCAGTCAGTGGTCTAACCAAATGAGCTATCGCGCCACCTATATTGTTACTAACAAATGAATGCATATAATTTAATGATTACATATAATATGCACAAATATTTGCAGTACATATTTTACAAATTCTTTGACGGTTGAAAATTGTTTTATTTGCATAATTATGTACATCTATATAATTTTACTTAGTGTGGTTTACCACTTTGATCACAACATACAGGATCTTTAAATATCCCCAATAACTATGTAAATATATCCCTTACACCCCTGTAATACAATACACAGATCGGTAAGAATATTCTTAATAAAAGTCAAAGAACGTCATAGTATACTTTATTATGATCTGGCAACCGTATAGTATCTTGTCCTAACTGTGTGAGTAAAGCAAAAGGCTTCCAAAGCAAAGCTAGTGTTTTAAGATTTTTTTTTTACTTTGAAGAAGGCGCTGTTGATGCTTGAATACAGAGACACCCACCAAAGTTCAACCTGTCTGTGCGTTCATGTCATTGAATAAGTTACAGGTGGCACAGCTTGAATTAAAAGAAAAATATGTACAGGGCTCTGAGGTAAAATGCTAAACATCATCTGCAATTTAAAGAGTTTTTCTTAGCAGTTTCAGCTAAGATTAAGGAAAAGTTAAAAATAATATGGCTGGCTTATTTATGAATGTATCTACAGAACATAACATCTTATAATATCATAACATGAAAGAATATCATAACATGTAACAATATCATAACATGTTACAATATCATAACATGAAACAATATCATAACATATAACAATATCATAACATGTAACAACCTCATTCCATGAAACAATTTCTTAACATGTAACAATATCATAACATATAAAAATATCATAACATGAAACAATATGATAACATGTTACAATATCATAACATGAAACAATTTCATAACATGTAACAATATCATAACATGTAACAATATCATAAGACGTAACAATATCATAACATGTTACAATGTCATAACGTGTAACAATATCATAACATGTAACAATATCATAACATGTTACAATATCATAACATGAAACAATTTCATAACATGTAACAATATCATAACATGTAACAATATCATAAGACGTAACAATATCATAACATGTAACAATATCATTACATGTAACAATATCATAACTTGTAACAATATCAAAACATGTAACAATATCATTACACGTAAAAAAATCATAAGATGTAACAATATCATATCATGTAACAATATTAAAACTTAAAACAGATTTTTAAGATATTTATTGAATGCTTTATGTTTGGAATCATTACAATATCAATACAATAATATTGTACATTATAATTAATACAATTAACCTTTTCCCTGCTTAATGGACTTGTCCAGTTTTCAATTTTGGAACTCTCAATTATCAATTTTAGAAATACCAAAATGAAAATTTAAAGTTACTCGCCCACCAGTATAGAGCTTTTGTCAAATTGGACATGCATACAGGCTGGACTGGCACTCTACTGGTTACTCGATTCCTGCAGCTAAAGGTATTAAGTTTTAAGTTACCATATACATCTTATTAAATGAAAAGAAAGTAACCAATATATGTTAATTACAGTATATATCCTATAAATTTCAAAGAAAGTAACCGATATACGATAATTACCTTATATATGTTATTATTACCAAAGAAAGTAACAAATATATGATAATTACCGTAAATATGCTATTATTTCTAAAGAAAGTAACCAATATTTTTTCACTACATTATCACATTTGCCAATTTTGACAGAAACAGTTTGAGAAACAAACTATGTAGGGGTTTATAATGTCTTTAAACGCAATATGACAATTTGATAAATTGGGTCAAACCCACTACAAAATCAACTACAGTTGACACATTTTTTCATCATTTTTTCACTTTATGTCTGACAAAATAATGAATGCATTTAAATACCATAAATGTGAAGTTATAGAATAATTACATGTATATTTATACATGATACAAGAGCTGATATTTATTCAGGAAGAAAAGACTGTAGCAAAATCAATGAACTGTTTAGGAGATCAAATTCTAATTGTTCGATGTTTTTTTAACTTTCATATCCCCCCCCCCCCCCTTTTCCTAGTGTTCTTTGTTTGTCTTTATTCTCTTTTTGCTTTTTATTTTTTATGCATGGTTTCTTATTTCTCTCTATTTCTCTTAAGGTTAACAACAACTGTTTAACATTTACCATAAATACTGTAGAAGTCAATTTTTATATTTTATTTTCTTTTTTTTCGGTAAGCAAGTAATGGGAAGATAGACAATACTACTCTTCAATGATATTACTATTGTCCTTATACATTGCATACACTAATTATTAGAATAAAACAAATAAAAAATTAGAAAGATAAAAAACAACTAAAAAGTATTAAAACAATGCAATGAAACGGAAAAAGTTAATAGTCACAAGATTAGAAATGTTTCACATATATTCTAAAAATCCTAAGATTAGGAATAATCCTGAAAACTTTAACTAAATAAATTAAAATTTGGAAAAATAAGCATGGATTCTTACATTCCGCAAACTGTAAATTATCGCAAATAAATATTAAGTTTTGTCCCCATAGTCAGTGCAGTATCAGTCAATCATTCAACCAGAATGATTTATCCCTGCTGAAGAATTTATACTGAAAATTTATATCAAGAGTGAATGATGAAATTATTAGAATTTTTGTCCAAACAAAAATGGTTAAAAGCATTAAGCCAGAAAATGCCCAAATAGCAAATCATTAGACATAAAACAATTGTGGCGAATTTATTTATGTACGAATGCGCGTGTATAGTAATACAAGAGTTACGTCTCTTTAATTTAAAAACGCCATTTGCATGACAACAATTATTACTTATTTGGTAAGTTTGGTACAGTTAAATGTTTTGTTTACGTCGTATTTGTTTATTACTATGTTATATCTGTCGGGAAGAGTCTATTAGTATGCTAAATTTAAAAAGGTAAGTTTAATTTCAATATATCATTAAGTTTAGAGATTATTTTGTACTTTGGGAAGGAGATTATTTAGAACAAGGGGAAGTAATCCAGTAGATGGCGCTTCTCTTATCCATATATAAGCAGGAGAAGTCGCATTTAAAATCACTTTTCGGATTGGAAAGCGAAGGTAACACTTCAAGCTATCCAGGAAGATAAATCGTGGGCATCGAAGTCCTATAAGTAAATCCCTTAAAAGCTCGGCTTCTTTGGGAATACAAAAGTAGGATAAAATTGCTCTAGCTGCTGAACGTTGGCTATAGAGATCGTCCTATTTATCATAGAAGCTCAGCTTCTTTGATATTGGATGAACATCAATTGTATATATTATTTTGGTGAGGTGAACGATTACCAATCGATATAGAAGCCCAGCTTCTTTATTGATATTGGATGACTATAAGCTCGCATTAAGCTGTAAATATTGTGTGATTTTCATCAAGTGTTTTTTTTTTATTATATAGTTATTATATAGTTTGTTTCTGTTCTTTATTATATCGTTCGTTTGTTCACCATATAATCAGTAATCATTACTTTGTCCAATCAATCAATGGTAAGGTAACCATAAGAAAAATTATATGTATATGATAAACTGTAAATAAGTAGTTGAACGTTAAAAAGTCTTATAATCAAAAGCCCGCTCGGAGATACGTTACAGATTTGGTGGCAGCGGTGGGATAGTTGATAGAATAATTTCTGTCACTTACTCACAACATTTAATATGGCATATGCTCAAGCACCAGAGTTCCAAGAATTACAAGAGAAGCTGTCTGACTTACAGCGAGAAAATGAAAGACTCAGAGTTGAACGAGAAATATGCGAGCTGGAGATGCAGATATCTCGACTTCATCAGAGTTCAACACCTATTAGGAGAAAATATGTCTGTAATAACGAAACACAGACATATGACGATAAACCTGTTAGACGTAGGTTATTGCCAAGGACACCTGATTGTTCTACAGTGATGAAAAATCAAAATGATATGGCAAGTAGACAATATTCATTAGATGAGGATGGTAATATTCTCGATCCAGAAAGGTTTATTACAAGACGAAACAAGAAAAAGATGCAAGAAATAACTGATAGCAGTA